AGTTATTAATTCAATGACAACTTTGCGTTTGACAGAGCAGATTTAACAATGGCTAACAATACTCCTCAGTCCTGTACAACAGACAAACAGGTCAAAAATAAAGCGAAAATTGTCCGGTCAAATTCAACAAGCGGTCGCAAAAGCGAGCGATTGAAAAGCGGAAGTGGGCAGGAGGTCGGGTGAAATGAGTATTGTACTTCTTTGTTTGATGAAGCGATGCTGATGCCACATTGTCGCCATAATGAGGCCACAATGAAGCGAAGCGATAACTGCCTAACTTTTTAATGTCGCGACGATGAAGCGATGCTGAAACCATAACAATGCCATAATGATGCGATGCTGAAGCGAAGCTGACGCTGAAGTGAAGCCAAAGCTTTCACGAGAAATATACTGTAGGTCATCTGCTTATAGTCAAATTAGTGATTAGTGAGCAAGTTCGCTGCCCCAATACTGCTGAGACTTGCTGCAATAGTTATGGATTATGATGTATTCTGACGCTTACACCACAGAGCAAGTAACACAGATGAAATATCCTACCTCCATGGGACAATACTTTCTTATATGGATTGATAATCTTCATATCGATGGAATAATTCTGGCTTCCAATCTCCACCAATCGCCAACTTCTGCTGTCCCTTAGCTCTTCCTGTGCAGTGTATTCTGGGATCTTTTCTGCCGATGTTGCTTTAGATAACGGAGTGTCATCTGAGGAAATAAACAATAAATGCCAAATTGTAAATTAGTCCCAGGTGTATCACTTTGCAAAGAATAGAAATTAATTAAAGCACTACAGTCGTCCCACTGCATTCTGTTCGATATGGGACTCACAGGAACATATACAATGCATGTATTAAAATACACTGTTTGTTTCAATTCAAACGCTTGCTGTGTGAAGACCATAGTGCTTTAAAGTGCGGTGGTCGTCGCGTGGGGCGTGTTCGAATTTCATGTAAATAAACAATGTATTTTACACGTGTTATATACGTCGCTATGAGTCCTATATCGAACAGGACGCGGCACGACGACTGCCGCCCTTTAAGTGTATCATTGTGAGAAGACATGAAATAGATTAAAGCGACACTAGTCATCACTCAACGTCAGGGTTGTAGCCAGCGTCAAATTGCCCATTCCGTCTTCTGTGACAGACAAAAATCAATATGTGAAGATATGAAAAAAATTGAAATCTTGCGAAGATCTCAAAAAAATCAGCTTTTTAAAGCCTTTCGTTTGTGCCGCTTGTGCGTATCATGATTCAAAATTGAGGGGACGGAAAATTTTTTCAGGCTAGCTACAACCCTGCTCAACGTCATGCTTGATTCGCTATTCCACACGTCATTCGAAAGGCATTCTGACCAATAGCATGGCAGTAGCTAATAACAAAACTATGACAAACAACGTGTTGTCAACCACAAGTAAATATTGAGACAGAAAACATTCTTTCAATGTGTGCTGCAGGTGAAAGAGTTGGTCATCAGTTAAACACACTGTAAGAAATGTATTTAGAACAGAAAACAGCCTACAAACCAAGACACATTATCAGACAAGCTACTGAATAACTGTACATAAGAAAATGGGTTCCATGGAAAGTCAGGGAAAAGACACTGTTTGTTCTATACATAATTGAACTGTGGAGCTTTGAAAACTGACAAAGTCTGATAAGTAGATATTAGTGTGCTCGTCGCAGGATATGTTTGTTGAAATGAACAAGTCAACCAATCAGAAGGTGCCATACAAAAACAATGACAATTTTTTGTGTGCATGTAAATGTATCACAATCTTTGATTGGTTATTGATAGTGAGATACTTGAATGAATTTTCAATGTATGAGAATTAGAGGTGGGAAGAGTCACAAGCAGGTGTACAGTATATCAGATTGATATGTGATAAGGTTTGAGTGATGTCTGTGAAATACGTGTACACATTTTCACCACCAGTGTCATATTTGGAAATAAACAATTCTTTTCCCGCCAAAGAATATTTTTCAAAGATTAGATTTCAACTCATGAAAGTACAAACAGAATATGGACATCAGTGAAATTTGAAGTCAATGCATATTATATATATTGTATTAGAATAAATTTGAATGTATTAGTATAAATTTGCATATTAATAATTTTTATCGAAAAAAAAAATTTAATTTACAAGATATAATATACATATATTAGAAACATTTGCACATATTAGCATAAATTGGTATATTAATAATTCTGAATTTCAAAAGAACAGTGAAATTTTCAACATGATGCATATATTTTACATATATTAAAATATATTTGCATACATTAGAATATATTTGCATATATTAGAATATATTTGCATGTATTAGAAACATTTGCATGTAATAGCATAAATTGGTATATTAATAATTCTGAATTTCAAAAGAACACTGAAATTTGCAACATGATGCATATATTTTACATATATTAAAATATATTTGCATACATTAGAATATATTTGCATATATTAGAAACATTTGCACGTATTAGCATAAATTGGTATATTAATAATTCTGAATTTCAAAAGAACACTGAAATTTGCAACATGATGCATATATTTTACATATATTAGAATATATTTGCATATAATAGCATAATTAGTTTCGAATGCCAGAAAAAATTTAAATTTTCAATAGAATTTTCCATGACACAAGAGTGAAGTTCCTCATTGCAGACTGCTCATTTATCGCATACAAAATTACAGCAATAAGCAGAGTTGAAAAGGAGTTGATCTACAAGATGACAGTGCCTCTAATCACTACACTATTAGGAAGATAAAAGGAGAGATACACAAGGAAAGTAGGGTATGACTTACGGAAGGTTTCAAATATTGTCCCTGAAATGAAGCATCATAATATGGGAGGAAACGTACACGGAAGACATTAGGGAATTATTAGCAAATACAAAATAGATTTTTGTTTTATCATGGCGCCTTTAGAAAATAAAGTAATTCAAATGTAAATCAAAGATTACAACTAATCTTTACATATGATCTACCATATACTAGTATTGACCACTAGAGGGCTCTACAGACAACATGAGGGCGCTATTTACTGTACTAGATAAGTTGTTTTCTCACCATTTTCATTTCAGTTAGGTTTTATATACAGTGTAGTGAAAGCCTAGGCCTTAAATAGGATTGTCTTTTTTGGGTTACTGTAAAATACTTTTTCGCTGAAAAGAGTTTTTAAGTGTTTTGTATGGAATTTATCTTCACTGATTTTTGATGAGTTGTATGTAAAATATAGCAAAAATGGTATAATCGCTGAATTTTTATTTTCACTTAATCATTCGTTCAGCGAAAATAATGAAAATTAATTCCAAGTGAAAATAAAGTATTTTACAGTATGGTAATACGGTAATATGCTAATCATTGATACGGTGATTTTTTATGAGCAATGAGGAAAGTAACAACACACACAACCGACAGTTTTATAACCCCTCCAACTAAATGTTGTATTCTCAATGCTGCAAGCCTGCCAAGAGGGCGGTATGAATGACACTTTTTTCATGATAGAGTGAACACTGCATCACAAATGTCAGACCTGCAGTCACCTGAATGTTCCTCCAAGTCAGTAGTCTAGATTTCTTTTATTGACCACATGAGGGTGCTATCTGCCATATGAAGGCGCTATCAGTCACATGAGTTGCTTACCTTCCCATTCCATTTCACCACTAGTCATTAGTATACTATCTATATCTCTCAGACTTGGTGTATGTATATCAGGGGTAGCTAAGCCATCAATTCTTTCAAGATCCAGACTGCTGCTCTGACTTGACAGGTCATCATTGTCTTCAAATGTCAATTCAGCAGGTTTGCCAACTTTCTTCTTCACCTTTGGAACAGCACCTAAGTCTAAAGATCCTATAAAAAGAATTTAATCTGATATTCAAACAGCTTTC